GGTATCAGGCCGTGGTTGCTGATTCCGGTGCTGGACACGGCGGAAATAGCCGGACCTTCGGAGTGTTGACCAGACTGGGTTCAACGCTGTCTGCTCTGACTCTCTGGGAGTCATAGCGGTCCGGGCTACTGAGGGCTGATGCGTTGGAGCACATGGTGCACTGCTGACCCTCCTCAGGAGTAGGGTCCCAGTGGCGATGCAGCCATAGCTGCATCTACTCAAGAGATATCATCGTCAAAACTTCATCTTCATCAGGGACTGTTGGCGCTGAGCTTCTTCCTCATCATCTGGATGGCGATTGGCTCTCGAAGCCTGTTTCACCTTGGCGCAGGCCACTGAATTGATGTCAGGGTGGCGCTGGGTGTTACCTGGGGTTTCGGTGCTATTTTTAGCTGCTCAGGGTGTTGGGGTTGAGGCGCTACCCTCTGAGGGTAGCGCAACAGGGTTCTGAGGTTATTCAGTGAGAACGGTGCTTTGAGTTTAATAAACAGTTGCAATACTGCGTTTGAGTTGTCATCTCTTCATTGCTTTCTGACTGTGATCACTCGGTTGTCTTCTATGAATGATTGTTGGGAATCGTGTGGAGAGAATTCACTGTCTGTGTTTTTTGTCACTTCGCTCCCCTGAGTCTTCCGCTGCGTTTCTTTGAGTTGGGCGGTGTGATACTCCACTACCTCTCCCCTCCCTTTTGTGCATGTATGGGTGTGTACGTGAGTCCCTGTGAGTGAGTGCTGATCAAATTTCGGCAGACAGTCATGTTCATAACATGTGTGTGTTTTAAATTGCAGCACAACAGCCACTATTCCATCTAGACGAGTAGATACGAGTTCAGCCAGCTCAACAATTGAAGAGGTTCACCTCTTTAGCCAGCAACATAAATCATAATAGACGTGTTTAGAACTGTGTTTAGCTTGGATGTCTTCTGGGCAACAGCTCCTCTTTTACTTTGCCTCACACGTACAAGGCTGGCCACGTTGACAGTGGTTGAGCAGCAGCCGCCCACATCCCTGTGTGCCTTACAGCCCACTTGCACGTCATAACCGGAGGCAGAGTAAAAGGGGAGGTATGATCCTGTGCAATTCTCTTCAGATCTTCATGCTACTGTTCATTTCACATCAGATCTTCAGGTTATACAAGTCTTTGTGTCTGTCCTACATCTTCATACCTCGATCTTCATATTCTCTGTTCAGGTTATACTTAGCGTTTGTGTCTGCTCAAAAGGGGAGGGCGGAGGGGAGGTGGAGGGAAAGGGATAGTGGGCGGACTTCTATTGGAGTCTGGGGTAGGGGAAGGTGGAGGGTAAAGGGCAGGAAAGAAACATGTGAAGGGCAGGATAGAGTATGATATGGGGCAGGGGAGAGGTGTATGCCAAACTTCCCAGAATTCTAAACACTCACCGCTGGAACAGAAAACTCTCGAATGGCACAGGGTTGCAAAAAAATTTTTTTTCGGTTGAGGAGAAGGGTTGCACCCCCCAACGGTCTGCGGCCCTTAACGGGTTGGCACCTTGCGATCGGGGGTCGTCAGCAACCCCCAAAAAAAAAAAGAAAAACAATAGAATAACACCACCAACACCCCCATTGCAGTCCCCAATACCACCATACACCCCCCCAACACCCCCAAACCGCCCCCAACACCCTCATACCCTCCCAATACCCCTATACCACCCCTATATCCCCTGTCTCTTATACACATCTAGATGTGTATAAGAGACAGGTATGCGGGGGCTATGGGCGTCTTGATGGGGGTTATTTAGGGTTCTGGGCAACTTTTTATTTATTTGTTTTTGAGGGGTGCGTACCAACCCCCGACCGGTAGGTGCCGACCAGTCCGACCGTCGGCTGCTCGGCCACAGACCAATCTAGGGGCCGACCGTCGACGTGACTATTCCGCCTCAAACGAATTTGTTCCTACATTCAGTCTTGATGAAGCATGACACAAACATGGCTCCCAAAGGCAAGAAATGACATCTAAACATGGTGGCGAATTTTAACTGTGAAGTTCAAGAGGAAATAACAGGAGTTAAGGCGCAGAGTGACAACACATTCTCAGAAACTGACAGAAAGTGACTACGAGCATCAGCCAGCAACAACAAAATTCATCATGACATGTAGGCAACCTCGCTCAGGGCGAGCTTGATATTTGGAGTAAACTAAAACTGATGGGGGTCAGATTTTTTCCCCTGCTGTCTTGTGGTGACTACACCATTCAAGAGCAAATAACAGGAGTTGAGGCGCGGAGTGACAACACATTCTCAGAAACTGACAGAAAGTGACTACGAGTATCAGCAAGCAACAACAAAATTCATCATGACATGAAGGCAACCTCGCTCAGGGCGAGCTTGATATTTGGAGTAAACTACTGATGGGGGTCAGATTTTCCCCTGCTGTCTTGTGGTGACTACACCATCAGTTCTGCCTCCTCCTGTGCAGAGGCACCTCACTGCACACCAAGTTCCATTTTTTTCTCGTGTGCTTTGGCACCTGAGATCTTCATGTGGGCAGGAGGGATAACATTCCAGTGTACATCACCGCATTCACATAGGGGACACCTGTACCTTCCCCACGGGAGTTGACACATCGATATGGATCTGGCTCGCCTTGCACCGGGGTGATCTTTGCTAAGAAGCATTGATTCATAAAAAAGATACAAAATAAAAGAGAGACGGTAGTGTCAGAAGGCATCGTCCTATTTCCATGGTCTGTTTTCATCCGTTTGTGTTTCTGCTTTTCGCCTTTGCTTCACGTATTTACATCTCAACACTCGTGCATCACCGACTTTTTGTGTTAAGAATCCAAAGGGTCCACTTTCTTTCTTTTCCCCTGAGGTGGTTCTGTTTTGAGCTGCTGGGGCTGGCCACTCTTTCGTAGAGTTGACCGCTCTCGGCCTGCCACAGCCTGCCTCCTCCACTGGTGGAGATTTGTCGATCTGGACGGTCCACATTTGGCGGTCAATGTGTGCCTGGACCCAGTAACCCCTGTGGACTTCTCGATCAGCACAGACATACCATCTGTGGCTGTCATTGAAGATTGAGAAATCTCCGGCTCTTGACCTACTCCTGGTTTTCATGGAGTCAGCTACCTGGCGTGGAGTACAGGCAACCTCATCCAAACCTGCACCCCGTACCTGTTGACCCTAGGACGTTTCTCAAACCAGGACAAGAAACGCATCTTTTCACCGCTGGCTTGTGTCTGTGCGGATTTCTCTGATTTCTTCACAGAAAATCGTAAACATTTCATCATTCTTTGGTTAAACAAACGGTTTCGAAGCCCACCTATCAGCACCAATCGAAAAACCAACCACTGCAATGACTTGCTGATTTTGACTGCCGAGACTGTCTGCAAGGCTGTACAGTAACAGCCGTAGGTTGATTCGTCATTTTGTTTGGCTGAGAGCTAACCGAGAGACCTACCTGTAGGGAAAATTCGTTAGGGACATATCTGCAAATATGGGAAATATAGGCCCAGCACTAAGCCGAATTTCCTACAGCTAACCCTGCTGCGTATAGCAGACCCAGGCTACCCCTAGGACAGACAGGCCCGACGGGGCCTATACCGATAGACGGTCCTATAGCCTATAGCCGGGTAGGGAGAGGCCGAGAGGCCGAAACTGGAACGGTACCGGTCAGTCCAGTCAGTCTGGTCTAGGCCTAGACTAGAGTAGTAGAGTTCTATTAATAGATGAGGAAAATCGATTCGGGACTTTTGGCTGTTCATTTCTGTCGAAGCAGTGTTTGGAGAAGCCAAGCAAGTGGGCGGTGGCAATTGTCTACACGCGGCATCCTGAGACCCTTGCCTGGGACGGCAGCCATAGCCGGCCTTCTGAAGGTTGTCAGAGCTGGGACTTCCTCAGCGCATCTACCCTGGGGGTATCTGCGTCTGGCCAGGCTATGTTGAGGCTCTTCACTGAGTGTTTGTGGGTGGCGGCAGCCATAGCTGCCTGTTTCTTCGTCAGAGTTGTCCATCGGCACTGAAGACTCCATCGCAGGATCTGTTCTTCATCTGCGTGGTTGGC